GACCCCTAGAGTCAAGGTATGCATTCACCTTGAGAGCTTCATCTTTGTTTCCAAATGCAATGACTTCAGTTTTCTCCTTGTTTAACTGAAGAAAATGTTGGCACATCCAACTGTTAATTTCATCAATGCATTGGCAGAGGGAGTCAATGGGGCTGTAGTCATTTGGTGATAAAGCTAGGTAAATCTGGGTATCATCAGCATAGCTGTGATAGCCAATTTGGTTCTTTCTCATTATTTGACTTAGTGGGAGCATAAACAGGCTAAACAAGAGCGGTGCAAGTATTGAGCCTTGTGGGACTCCGCATGTCATGGACGTCCACTTAGACTTATGCTCTCCTATACTACTCACATAATAACCTCTCCCTTCTAAGTATGACCTGAACCATTTGAGTATTTTAAGTTGTCTTGGGGTCCCTTTGGGAGTTTACTGAGGCCCTCTAGTGAAAACCACTAGTCCTATCAACCAGACAGAGCAATCTAGCAACAAGCCAGAACACCCTAAGAATGCATAGCAACCTGTCAGAACCTCAGGAGCAAACACTCAGACACCAATTAGCACCGCACCATCTATTTATTTGTCTGTTTGTAGGCCTATGTCTTTTGGTCTTTCTGTCTGGCGGCTTTAGACCTGTATAACTTCAAAATATTTTAAAAACTAAAGTTCAGAAATTGAGCCTCCTTTGTCTGTCATTCTTCCCTGATAGCACACGTACATCACAGAGACGTCTATTTGACATCAGCAAGATGTATTTTCAAGAGTGTTTGCTCATCTGCAATACGTCTATAGGATGTTTCCTGTCAGACATTAAATAGACTATATCTAGAAATATTTTGAAAATGTCTTTAAGATGTTTATGATTCATAATGTATGTAAAACTGACATCTTAAAGGGGTCATATGATGCGATTTTTTTCTTGCGCTTGAAACGCGATTTACACCTTTAAATGCTTACAGTCTTATGTACACTTCCACAAATATTACCCTGCGTATGCAAATCATTTTGACGTCATTCTACCTTCATAGTTTTCATGTTTTTGCGTCGTCGCGCCGGCCGGGACAAGGCCAATCACAGCACACCTCGCTTTTCAGACCGATGAGCTTTGTAAAAATCGACGCGTTTCGGAAAGGCGGGGCATAGAGGAGAAACAATAATGTACAGTATGTGGAAAATAATGTGTTTTTTTAACCTTAAACCGCATAAACACATTTCATTAGGCTACACCAAATACACAAAATAATGTTATTTTTAGCAACATCATATGACCCCTTTAAGGACATTTATCAAATATTTGTACACAGCAAATGCTTTCCAGATGAAGCGATCTTTAACAGACATCTTGCATACGTACATGTGCTATCTGGGTTCAGACATTACACTATTTTCAAACTTCCAAACAAGGCTTTATTAGACGAACACCAAAGTTTTATTAGACGCACTTTACTCATCTGGTTTACAGTTGCTCTTACACACACACCGTGTCTTTGGCAGGTAATGTGTGTGAATCAACGTCATCGCCTGTATGCCACTCCTCAAGACTCCCCCCTGCAGCTTTAGGGCTGTTTGTGTGCAACTGGAGACTCAGAAGGACTGCGGTGTCAACAGGGTGACTTTGTAGTTGGCCTTTCCCACTATCATAGTGCGCGCTTTTTTTTGGGCACATCGCTTCGGAAAGACTGTTTTCAGTCCAAAATGCAGCACGTAAGTGGAATATGGGAAAATCACAGGTGAAGCTGTGAGTGTAATTTCAGTCACGGATTGTAGCGGATCCAGGTGAGTCTCTGTAAAAAGCTACGACTCTAGTATAATGTTTTAGAATGCGGTGAAAACTTGCTTAATATTTATTATATAGGCCTATAACTATGCACATATCGTAGTTTGCGAAGTTGTTCTTTTGCGGGCCATAATACCGCAATTGAAACTAGGATTAATATATTATGTATACAAGGATTATTAAATAGCGTCAAACAGCTATACGAGTCATTAAGATTTGCACTATATTTGTAATTCTTTAATATTGCATCTTATGGTTATGTTTTTTTTTAAAATTTATTTTGTAATATATATATTTTTTAAAGAAGATAGACGTTTAATGATAGGCAGATGTATAATTCTACAGTCTGCATGACATAACCTATTCTTTCTCTGAAGTAGTAGCCTACATTTTTTTTTTCTTCAGCTGAGTTGACCTGGGATCATGGGTTGACTGTCTGACCTTGGCTTACTGAAGCAATATGTGTTTGTTTACGCTATTACATTGTTATCAGTGAGAATGCTGTGGCAAAATTGGCCCCTGGAGGAATGTCAGAAGGAGACTGTAGTTTGTGTAGACTCAGTAATTAGTCTAGTTTGTTGTGCCTTAGTAATATGTTGAATATCAGATGAACAGATTTTTAGAGAAGACTTGCTTTTGTAGTGATTGATTGACATGACTACACATTTTGTTTAATTCCATATGGTATCTGGCCTCAGCTGCCATCTCTTTTAATGATGAAAATTATATATTAGCACAGGCTTTATATTTCTTTTTGGAACTGATTGATCATAAGCTTCATTGATCTGAGCTTATACACTGTTACACACAGTTAACATTGCCAAAATTATATATATATGTACTGATTGGTTGTTGGCCTCGTTGATCTGAGTATA